TCATGCAAGTGTCCGCCTTCGATTGAATAATTAATAAAATCCTGTGCCACCGCCATCATCGGCGCCGGTGGCAGCTTGGCTGTAAAATTCATAAAATTGATTGTGCACCTTCAATTCAAGATCGTCGTCGTTGTTGTATTGTAATCATTGACCCTTACCTGTAAAATCGCCAATTAACAGCAATCCAATGCTACGATTATTGTAGAGTGGCGCGTGTGCTCCGACCATTTCGTAGCCGCGCCCCTCGTACACATTGCCATCACCACAGATGGCGAAACTGTAGCCAATGTCCGCCCAATGGCGGTCATTCATGTGGAAGTCCTGTATCTGGTGCATGGCAGCACGGCAATCTTCTGCCGTCAGAGCAATGCCTGGTTCGTATGAGTGGTGAATGATAAGAAAAGGTGCCGGCCTTGCAAAGCGTTTGCGCTCTATGGGCGGACGTGCGCTCCACTCGTGGCGCGCTATAAACTTCCAATGTCCGTCGTCGGTAGTCTGCATGGGGGCTGCAAGTAGAAATATACATACATACGAATGCTTACATATTTAGTACATGCAGGCAATTCCATCCAGTACTTTTTTTCCTATCACACTTATGTATGTACATACCTGCCGAGCTGCCAAAGTGTCGATTGAAGAGGCTTTTACATGAAAGTGCCAACAGAAGTTTCAGTAAAGTGTTGGAGGTGTTCATGATTGCTGCTGCTTCTTGTTCGCTTTGCACTTACATAAGTACTTAGATAAATTTCAATACATTTTTTATGTTTGTGTGTTGCTTTTGTCGCTTTTATGGATCTACCTGCTGCTGTTTATAAATCTGACTTTCTCCAAAATATGGCCGCCACTGCATTAGAGACAAGGTCGCTCCATATGATGGCTGTGCTGAGCTGCTGAGGGCGGCTAAAGTGAGGTGCGAACGAAAATTGCGTCGGCTTTTATACGTTAATATCTTTCACAATTATTTGCTACTACAATAATATGTATACAAAATGTGGTTCAGTTAGAGTTTTTTTACTAATTCGCTCTTCCTGCGCTCTCTCAAATTAGGCAGCAAGCTGTTGGGGGATTTTTGTTAGCACAAGTTTTTCATTTATGGAAGTTGCTTGTTTTTGCTATAGCAATCGTTATGGTGAAATATCTAAAAAGGCCGAATTAGGCCACTTGTCACAAATGTGGCTTTGTTTGGGTATTTTTTGTTTTGTTTAAGTTTGGTAGTATAAATAGTCACGCTTGGCTGAATGCTAAGAGCTCGGCATAACAAAGTACCCTGACGTTTTTGACGATTTTATTCATTTATATTTTCCATACCAAATTTTTCTTATTTTTTTTATAAAAGTAGATATTGTTCATTCAACAGCAAAAGCCAAAAAAAAAATCAATTCTTTTTGATTTCATACAGAACTCGGGGGAAAATTCAAGAAATAGCAAGATGCTTTCATCGAAATTTACAGTTTTCCCAATCGATTTAAAAAAAAAACAATTCGAGTAAATGGACAAGTTTCAACTTGATTTTTAAGATTTTTTTCGCTGAGGCTGTTGCGAACTTTCTTACATATAAAACAAGATTGCGCTCATACTTGAAACTTGCATATTATTATACTAAAATTTAATGGGTTACTCAAATATTTTCTAAGAAATCCAATTGAAAAGTTAAAATTTTTCACATCACAAATTAGATGCAAAAGCTTAGTTCCACACCTAACAAAAATGAAAACGCCAAATATTTGTTTAAGCTGTTCTCCAATCAGTCAACATTAGAATAGGAATGGCAAGAAATCAAGAATAAAGGCACATCCTTGTAGTTAAGGTCCAGTAAGGTTACAATGGGCCGCCGGAAATTTTCACATTCGAGTCTCAGTTTGTTTTCAATCAAACAGCTCCACCCGCAATGCGATTTCATCTACCAAATCATTTCGTACTGCTGCCGAAGAGGTCGTTTGCTGGTATGACAAAATTGTTCCCTACGGCGCCATGTCTAAATTTGGCTTCTCACAGGATTTACACAGCTATGTATCTCTACTGACCGACGTTCAAATTGGGAAGAACCACTCTACAGCTATTCGAGACCAAACGAGCTTTTAGAAAAAGCGACATACTTTTGTGCGACTTTTTTTTAATCTGAAGTGAGTCCCCCAGTTCTGTATACAGCGTAAAACTCTGTCGCAACAAAGAACAAAAAAAAAAAGACTTAGTAAACAAATGCTCAACAATGTCAATGCCATTAAGTAAAAAAAGGGTATAAACGCACATAGATAAATCGCATGCAGTAGGTAGATATGTATATTAAGTCTTTGATATCTGCTACTAAAAACCCCCTTTTCTAACAAATCGAACGCTATTGCCACAGACTTAAAAATGTTACTTACAGCTAAATTATGCGCCAATCGTTTAAATATTAGCGAGTGCCACTGAAAAATTGTGAACAACTAAAACAAATCCAAAAGAGAGCTGAACAACGCCCACAAAGCAGCGTAAACGCCAACTTGAAGAAGATAGTCTTTAGCGCGAATCACGAAATGTCGCGAAGATTAAGTGAGACTTGCCAACCAGCTTAGGTAAAAGCAAACACACAAGTACTGACATACAGATTTACATATTAGAGCAACTGGTAAATGCATAATACCTACTAAGTAAGTAAGTAAGGTATTTTTTGTGGGGATTACCCGAATCGCATCACAAAAATGTTCAGCAGTGTAGAGCCACAAAATCGTTATTGGTTTTAGTGGAGCTTTTGCCGGCATTTGCCTTCGTTAGCTACATTACCTGGCCTCCTGTCGGTTTCTTGGCCATGAACGCCTTGTCGCCAGGGCTGCCAACTATACTTAGCTATGAAGTGCCATATTGAGGATGAAAATGTGCCAAAATGTGCCAAATAGAAAAATGAAAGTGCCAAAAAAGGTGCAATTCTCTTTTTAATTCTCCCCATTTGGCATTAAAACTAGAAACACATTTCTAAAACAAAAGTCCAATACCAAATTAATATAAATCAGTTATATACAATATAGAAATTAGAAAATTTTAGTTGAGAAAAAGAAGTACACGCAATGGATTTCACAAAAATATATTAAAATACTACTATTTATTTTTAAAAAGTGTCATTTTGGCACTTTGTGCCGAATTGAAAAAGAAAGTGCCATTTAAAGTAAAATAGCGGTTTGAGCCAAGATGGCAGCCCTGCTTATCGCCCACAATTACCGAGCGTATTACAAATTCTTTGCGGTTTCTCACTCGCTAATGATGCGGAAATGCAACGATGCATTTTTTGTGGGATGCGGTGGGAGGCAAATGAAAGCTTGAACCGATGACAACCTTAACATGGAAGTGATAGTAAATGATATTCAAAGTTAATGAAGTGGAAACAACTCAGAGCGCTTTATGCACAAAATTATGTAATTAGCTTGAAATTGTTGCTCATAAAAGATTATTTTATTTGTTGTGCATAGATTTATTTAGAAGTGTGTAAGAAGGTAACAGTAGTAAACTTTCTTAGGTCACCAAAAAATTATGTTCTACCATTCGAGAGTGTTCTGAAAGTACTTTCGAGAAGGTGGAACGACACTACTTTTTAATCCACAAAATCTAAAAAATAAATTTTATTTAATAGTCTATGATCGAAATCAATTTTGCAAAGCTAACATATTCACATTTGCGCATTGATTTTAATTGCGAATATAGCTAACGGTTTTTCTGAAAGAACTTTGCAGCGCTGTGTAAAAACGGCTCCGCAAATACCCACATTAATGACCGCGTAATTATATAAAATATTTATTTATTGATTTATGTGCACTCCTATAAATTACCAAAGGGGAATTTTTCAACGCAGTCGTCACAAAAACAAAAAAAAAACAATTAAAAAGTAGAAAAAATTAAAAAAAACCGACCCTGACGGAAACGGAATGTGATTTTTTTTTTAAATCAACTAATTGAAAGACTACTTTAAAACAAATGCAATGAGTAAATCGTTCGAATTTGTTTACTCTTTTTGTCTAAAAAAAAAACAATTTGTGTCTTGGAAGTGTGAAAAAGCATCTGTGAAGTCCAGAACGAAACGAACGAAGAAAGTCCATGTTCAAATCTCGTTTAATTTTAAATTTGTAACTTCGTTTTTTCTTAGTTATGAAGAAGCATCTGTGAAGTGCAGAACGAAAGCGTATTCAAACGAAACATAATGGATTTGAAGTTGTTTACGCCAAATTCATTTTAAAGTGGTTGAAAATACATGCAGGAAAAGGCAATTGAATGAGTTGGTTACAGGTAGCATAGTGAGAATTTCAATTATTTAGTTGTCATCGAAAATAAATTAGTTTATAAATTACTTTCAAACTAATTCAATTTCCTGCAGGGGAGTGTCTGCCGGCAATTATTTGCAAATGTCGTTGAACGCAATGTAAATAAAGTGTCTGAAAAACCGTTAAAACAGCTGCATATTAATACAAATTTAATGATAATGCTGTTTTTTTTTTCTTATCACATAGAAAAAGATATGCGGTTGAATTGCCTTTGTTGAAAGCTCTCTACACAAGGCTAAGAATATTAGAATAATTTACGTTTGTTTAGCAAAATATCCAACACGGTTTTCAAAAGTGTATTAGTTATTCTGCCTTATCCTGAGTTTCGCCCGAAAAAAAAATTCGCCCGAAAAAAAATTCACCCGAAAATTGTTCATCCGCCTATAGTGAATACACGAAAACCAAAAGTGAAAAGTGAACCGGTTCGGGGAAAACGAGACTCATAATAAGGCTTATTATCTCAAAGTAGTAATTTTTGTAATTTGGTGCAAAAAAACCTTAAAAATTTAGCTTTCCCACATAATTATAAAGAGTATAGAAATATTTATTTTGTGTTTTCTGACAGTATATTTATGTATGTGTGCGAGAAAGATTAGACGTTTTCAGTTTACTGAAACTTTTTAAAAATCACTTTTCTCTTAGAATCTGTTGTTTATTTACAATAATGTAAACAACAGATGAAAAATCCCCCTACACGCGTCAAGAGTGCCTTCACTCACACTTCGATACACACATCAGTATCAAAAGAAATGACCAACAACAACAAAGCGTTACTTATTGGACATCTATGCCATAGTTCGACTTTTCTTTTGGGATTTTTTTTGGCAATAAATTAACGAATTATGAAGAGAGTAAACATTTGTAGGTATGTTTCTTCATTAAGGTGCTTCTCGAACGCAATTTGTCGCTCCCTCCACCGACCCGCAAAACGTCGCCTTTTTTATAGCTTCCACCAAAATATTTTATGTGGCATCTATTACTACGTTTATACGCATGCATAAGTCGCTTTAATTCATTTCGCCGCGATTCAAAACACATGTATAAACTGAATTTCAATTCGCTTTGAAAGATCGAAGTGTTT